TTTTTTTTTTTTTTCTGTTTGTGTTTGTTTTTTTTTTTTTTTATTGTTGGGTTTTCATTTCTTCCAAGTTCTAGTATTATTTCCGAAGTGACACTGTCATACAAAACCTCTGTAACAAATGCCTGTGTTCTCATTCGCTAACATTTGTGCACTTGTGTTCTCTTTTATTTAAGATGTTATAGCCTATTTCAATTTTAAAATCAAGTTGAAAGAGTTACAACTCTGAATTTAGTCACTGTCTGTTATTCAAAGCCTTTAAAAGGAGCTGTACCAGCATACACTTTTTATAGTATTCATGGTGCCTTAGATAATAACCAATTAATCATGGTCTTATAGAACTGTAATAACTGCAGTACTCATTAGCAGTAAGTCCAGCTTATTTTCTTGACTTCTGATATCGTATCTTCCTGGGAACACATATTTCTCACTGTAATTCCTTTTACTGGTATAATAATAATAATTATTATTTAAGAATATTATTATTGTTAATAATAACATTTGTTATAATTATTATATTATATATTATATACAACATATACTATACATTATGTTATATATAATATATAATATACTATATATAATAAATGTATTCATATATTTAATACTATATATTATATATATTTAATATATAAAATATAGTATTTATAATAATAATTTATCTATAGTAATATTCATACCACATCAAATTAAATATACATTTCATATTTAATTATTTATACTAATAATTTATATTTATATTACGTTTGTATTAATATCTAGTTAATATATAATTAATATATAATATATAGTAATACATGTAAAATATATACTATATAATGTATACGATATCTATTATATATTATTATATATGATGTAATAATACATATAATAAATAATTATATATTTTATACTTTTAATTATTATTAATATTAATTATTGTTATTATTTATTATTATTATTTCTTAAGGCACCTTTAAAATTAGAATGAACACTGGCAACGAAAACTCAAGTCTTGGAGAACACAGCCACCAGCTTTTGTGAGGTCGCAATGTTATAATTTGGCCTAAGGAGCAGAGAGCTTTTTAGGCTATATACAGCACATATTCCTCACTATCCTCACAGACTATCCTAGAAAATCCAATACAAATTAAAGCAATAAAGTTTCTACAGGAGTTGAATAGTACTCTAGAGAAATAACTTTAAACACTAATTGCCTTTTCATAGAGCTCTACAGGACCGTATAAGTACTTCTAAAGTGCAGTGCACTTGCCATTACATATTTCCCGTTCAGAGCAGGAGGATACAGCTGTAACTGAAAAGATCGAAGCAGCAAGCCAAATGATGACTTTCAAGAACCAAACCCAAATTCAATTCCCAATCATTTCCAAGCAGGAAGGCGGTGTCCAATCAGTGCTAAGCACTACTGAAGGCACACGTTTGCCTGTGCACGCACAGATGACTGCGTGCATTCACAGAAATATATTCAGACTAAAGTTTGCCCATAACAATGCCATTATTAGACCCCGCAATTTCAATAACATGGCTTCCAAGAACCTTTACCGTCTTCAGATCCAACAACAAATCTCTTCAAGAAAGCAGCTGGACCAGGACAAAGAACAGGGCCTTCAGACTCTAAAGAAAATTGTATTTTCGAACTGTTTCCTGAACCCTTCATAATATGCGTGAGTCCACCACTAATACATTCACTCATTTTCTCAACTTATACTTTAGGCTAAGAAGTTAAATCTACGAGGCTTTTGCATTTTGCACAATATAAACTTTACCTTGTGCATTAAGCTCATTAACTGGAATGAGGAACACCAAAGTTATTTAATTTACACAGAATCCATGACCTAAGAGCCTAAGGGCTGGTTTGTTGTCAGTGTGAGTTTTGTTTTAAATCCCAATCTTTGTATAGAGAGCTCACAGCTGGATGATGACCAAAAAAGGGGGGGTTTATCAAGCTTTTCACTCCATCTTCTCCTCCATACACTTGTACACTCATCTACACAGATTAAGCACTTTAATTGAAATTGGAATGTGTACTCTGAAACCTCATAACGGTTCCACAGTATATCCAAGCAGGTTTCTTGATACTGATAATCGATTCTTCACCAGCTGAGTTTCAACTACATGTAGTAGTAAAGATAGACACTGGATGATGTTTCAGTGGTAACATTTCTCAGAAAACACTGCAACTACAGAAGATGCCCAGAGAAAAGCACTGGAATGGGCTGCATAAAAGAAGTGTTACATTTAGTGACTTTGTTCTTAATACACAAGTGACAGTAAGCATATACTGCTTTCCTTGAGTGGGACAATGCAGTCAGCTTGCCTGACTACTTGAAAGAAATATATTATTAATAGATTTTGGAAAGATGCATTATTTCATATATTATTTTTTCCAAGCAATAAATCCTAAAGATATGAATGAAACTGACAGAAAAAATGAATTACATCCATTATCAGAAAATTACTCTGTTATAGACAATGCAGCCAACTGCTAGGACCTCTGTAACAGCATTTTACTTTGCTCAAAGGGCACTGAATGAAGCAATCAAGAGAATCAGGACAGAATTAAAAGAAAGGGCTTAGAGGTTTCATATGACAACTGTACAACTTTCTAATATGGAAAACTGAGATGCAGTATCTTGCTAAAGATTTTTTTCTTTTTTGATTAGAGTAAAAAAATAACTTTGTATGCAAGAATGCAGAAAATCAACACAACATATGTACGACATCAATCAGTGGACTGCATTTATGCATTGTAAACACTCAGGTCCTTTTCAGAAACTTCTCAAATATTTGTTTTGTTTTAAAGGAAAGTCCTACATTTTCTAGGCATCTGAGAAACAGAAAAAAGTTCTTGTTGACAATAATAAAGGAAAACAAAATACAACAACATGATTTTAGAGTAATATATGCTATCATAAATATATGATGAGTTACCGGATAGCCATTTCGCCCTGGTAGACCCTGGTTGAATGAGATGAAATGGTATGACACACATTAACAACACAGTCATGACATATGACATAACAAACATGCAAAGTACATTACTGGCAAATTGCATATTGATTAATTTTTAATAGATGATGATATTACAAACCAATAAATATGAAATAGTTACTACACAGTGAAGAAATTAGGCTTTGGCAATGGAAATTATATGCTTTAACTTAAATAAATCCTCTAATTAAAAGGCTACTGACTACTTCTGATGTTCACTGAAATTCCTTTTCATATGGAGAGAATTATCCATGTAGACTGAAGGGCAATACATGGTTAAAAGAACAAAAGCTTTAGTGCTTAGGCAGTAAAGTTTTAGATATACAGGCTATCATTAGAACATAGGTGCCAAAGAAGAAATTTGAGAATGCTATAACAGATCATAAAAAAAAAATAGAAAGCCCCAGCCTTTGACTGTGACACTCAGTAGTCATGTACAAGGAAAATAAACAGAGCACTGCAGTAGCCTTTGAAAATACAACATACACCTAATTCCATGCAGTGCTGCGTAGGATACACAAGTATTTGTTATTGCAAATGAAAATTATTACCACAGTCTCCCAGGTGAAAACAATATCTAAGTTCACAACTGTTGCCCCTAGCCAGACTGTGTCTATGAAAATAAGTGAATAAGGAACAGAAACTACATTTTTAAATGCCTTGTAGCAACTTAAACCCTTGCTGCCTGTCAGCAAGGTGAAGTCTTTTGAGTATGAAACTTGGAATTCTAAGTCAGATACTTCTTAAAATTATTTAGTTTTGGGAGCTATTTCAAGTTTGTGTTAATATTGCCACAATTCAGACTTTTTTTTTTTTTTAATAGATCTATACTAAAACAGTGAGGAGATGAAGCCAAAGACATCCATAATGAGGCACACAGTGAACTCTTGCCATATTGTCTTACTAAAGGAAAATCACTTGTATCGTGATTTTTGGTTGCTATTTGCGTTTCATGGGAAAACTGAAAAAGAAGTCGGGGAAGCCAGTGTTCCTTTCAAATAAACAGGACTGTTATGTATTAAGCCTGACTTTTCATTGATGGCTTGTTAAATCAATTTCTCACTATGAACTGCTGAGCACATGGTCAAAATTCTTCAATGATAAGTAGTATCACTGCTCAGTATACAGTTTACAGTAAAATCTATAGGTCACAGCAGAAATCTTACATATTAATTCCCTATTCTCAAACATGCATGTAGCATAGAATAGACAGATAATCTGGTCCTGTAAATACTGTGGAAACAGTATATCTATTAAAGAAAAAAAATAGAAATCAGCAAACACTGTAAAGGAAATACTGTTTTAATGGTCACAATTTTACATCATATGGTGCACATGGATGGCATGACAAATACGAACGTTTGAGACGTGTGTTTAGTCCTGCTCTTCAAGTCAGACTTTTGACCAACCCTGGGACTATACAACATAGCAAACAAAAAACCCAACTGAAAACCAAGACAACCATAAAACCTCAGGAGATAGAAACTGTTTTCTTATAAACAGGATTAGCACAAGACTCAACCAGCTTACTAGACTGAACAGTATTATTTAATATTCATTTTACACAAGCATGCACTGGCTTCAGTAGCAATTACACTTCAATGAGCTGGACAGCCTGAGTACCTCCAAAGAACAAGGAGCCTGTACTCCAAGACTTTGCAATAACTGTGAAGGAAGTTATTACCCAGCTAAAGGCAGAGGGACGAAGTCTGGATATAAGATAGCATACTCACACATTTTTATATTGCAGTAAAATATCTGTTATCGAGTCATAAGCAAAATGAACATAACATACTTACGTGGAATTGTAATCCAAACTGCTATTTGGAGTGTAAATTTCAGTTTAAATTATTCAGCTCCAAGATAATTAGTGACTGCTTACACTGTTTAAGTATAAATATCAAAATTCCCTCTTGATGACACATGATCATTTTATCATGGTGATAATTTAACAGGATCTAACAGATTTCTCCCTGATTCTGGAAGAACAAGCAATGTATCACTGTACTTACAGGAGGTCCTGTGAGGGCAGGGGAGAGGGAAAAAGGGTAAAAAAAGAGAAAAAAAAAAAAGAATATGTAAGCTTGTGAAGTTATTAAAGGAAGACACATACGTACAAAGCCAAGCACAAGGCCTCAGGATTGTAAGTGAGCAACACTGCTAATAGACTGAACACATTTTCCCATTCAAGTGCTTTTTAGCTTTGGTTGGGCTTTGCAACTTGTAAACGTGACTAATGCCTAAATGCATGCGCTTACCTTACCAATTCTTCCATTACAGTCATGCAATCTTATGCAAGCTGCTTCTCCATCCATTTCCATGCAATTTCATGCCAATCCAAAAATACCAGCCACGGACTACTATTCATTTTGTCAGACTCCACATAAAGCATAAGTAACCACAGCACCAATTGCAGTTAGCCACGCAGTTGGCACTTGATCACAGCTTGCCTGCAAAATTGCACAAAGTACCCTTGGCATTTAACCTTGGCATCTCGTCAAGACATACGTGTACCAGCATCTTCCAGCCTTCCAGCTTTGCCTATGAGGGGAAGTTTCAGTGGCCACCTGACAGTGCTGAACTTTCTTTTCATCACCTTCCTTTCTCAAGGCACACATATAAAATGCTCCCCCTTAAAATGTCACACTTCATGAAGTGATATTTGCACATTTTTTCAATTATTTAGACTCAAAGACTTTTGTATAGCAGTTCTTGGAAACATTATCAAAGGGTCACAAATCAAATCTACTATTTCAGTCTTATTAAGTTGAGCAGCTGCAGCTCCCAAATCAATGGCATTTCATTAAGCTTTTATGCCTCTCTAATTTCTGAATAAAGTGAAGTGCAAAAGGAGCATAAAACAGCAGCAGCTGTATTTCAAGATTGCTTTTAATATTGACAGCCTTTTGGTTTTAACAATGCAATTTTATTGTCCAGCAACTAAGGTAATTTTTTTATCCTGGTAAATGTTCTTAAGCAGCACTTTAAGGTACAGGTCTGTTTTTAAATGAGAGAGACCAATTTCCTTTATTAATAGTTTAATATGTGTTTATTTGAGACATAAAATGAACGACAAACATCCTGCAAAGTAATTACCAGGATCATTTGTAAGACAATCTTCAACCATAGAATTTCCTTCTATACCACAGCATTTTTCTCTGAGGCAAATACTAGGCCAACGCTGAATGGAAACACCAAGGTGATTTGTATTAACCTTTGGCAGGGCATGGCTTCAGTTCTGTGATGCAGGAAAATATGGAAATAGTTTTTAAGAGCCAGATAAATGATCATTTACAGAGATAAGAAAGGCTACTGAAGATTTACAGAGATTAAGTTGATTGGAAGATTTTCCTAACTGGCTGATTAGACAAGACAACCAAGGAGCATAGAAATGCTCATTTTCTCCTTCACCGCCTCCAGAAAGTTCACCTTTATGAAAAACTCAATCCTGCAAGGTAATAAACAGTTCCAATTCCCGTGAATGTCAGCAGGAAGAGGTGCTCAGCATCTCACAATGTTGTCTCAAATGAAATTTCAAGCTCAACACCAACAGCGGGACTCTCTCAACAGCAGCCTCCCCGGTACAGGGTAACGAACCAACAAATGTTTTTCTTATTTCTGTAAGAACTTAATTGCTACTCATTTATAGTAAACAGCAACTTCTCTCATACAGAGTAGTCTACTTATCACATTATTTCCCCAAGTACGAACATTCTTAACATAAGGAATTTTATTTCCTTATTTCCTTATAAAATTGTTCACCTCAAACCAAGGAGGCCTGGTGCAACACTGACTTACAGTACTCCAACTACTGACTTACACGGAGTTATTCTAACTTACGCAAGTGTGAGAAGACACCAAAATGTTTTGACAATTACCAATGGCACCATGTCAAGCATTATGAAGTGTGCCTACAAATTAATGCTGTCCAAGACTAGAAAACTACCTGGAAGGCCACCAGGTATATGCCAAGGGTCACAAATTTTTACCAGAGAAGCTTCAGAACTCTCTTTAAGAGCACACAAGCAATAAAACTAAAAATGAAGGCATGCTGGATATGCATCCTCACAAAAACACAGACATCAAATAACAATGGATCTCACGAAATTGAAAACTTACCAGTCTCTCCTCTTCTGCCCCGCTTACCTCTTTTCCCTGGAGGACCTAAAAATAAGATGGTGGGTTGTAACTTTCTTTCTTGAAATTTTATGTAAAATATAATTCGTGTTTGGATGTAAGGACATTATACAGATGCATTACATGAAGTCCAGAGACTTTGGCTGGACAGGGATAAAAGATAACCAGAATAAGATTCAGGAAGTTGAAGATAAAATTGACAGCTACATCACCCACTACAGGATCTCAGAAAAAAGGCTGGGAGAAACTTTAAAGGTCATCCAGTTCATCCCTCTTCCTCAAGGAAAACGTTAACCACATCTAAATTATTACTGCAACTCCACAGGCATTTCTTCCCCAGTATTTCACTGTTCTGACAAGTGGAACATTTTTCTTTGTGTTCAACTTGCTGCACCAAAGCCCATCAATTCTCATGCTTTCCACCAAGAACCCCAGAGAAAAAATTGTTCCTTTCCTTCCCTCAGAAAAAAGTCTTTGTATTCCTCAGAATTACTACACCATTCCTTGAATGTGCTTAAACTAAACTTATCACGGGGCATTAAATTTCATTCAGTTATTCCTGTATCAAGCCCAAAGATTAGCATTTATTTATAAGAGCAAATCCAGCCTCCATCTGAAAACATCCAAGAGATGAAGAAACCATCAGCTCACTCGCCATCCCCCAAACACTAACATATGTGTTGTTAGACACTAAGATGCTTTGCTTCCTGTTTATATCCATTTGTCATAACGCAACACCTTAGACCCTGTATGCTTTTTGCTAAGAAATCCTTTGCTGCTCATTGTCCTTTCTCCCCGAATATTTACTTACTATATAGTCAGTGTCTTCTGCACCCCTAAAGAAAAAAATAAAATCATTTGTGTTGCTCGTTTCTGCACTCCAACTTTCAACATCCTTTCTAAACATCAGTACAACATTCTTCCTCTCTTCTTGGTGACCTTGACATATTAATCCTGAAAATGTGAGGGAAATACACTTGCACATCTCCTTGTACAGCTAGGAAGAGAGGCAGCAGCTGTGGTGGTGACACAGAGCTGAAATACTGCCGCTCTACAGCGAGACCCACAGATGGGTCTCTCAAAGCTGCTGAAGAGACGCAAGCGCAGAGATGGAACTTCCAAAAGCAGCGACGCATGCAGGAGCACGAGTACCTCTGCTGTGGCTGTATCTCACCGTAAACAGGTATTAGGTGCACAGATGCTTTTGTGTAAATAGTTAAGCAATTGTCTGCTACTTTACACACCTACAAGATTTTCAAATAATCTGAGCTATCAACCCATAGCTTTTAAATGCATATGAATGTCAAATCTTACTCTGCACTATATATTTGCAGCAATCTGGCTTAAAAGACAAAGATGCTGAAAAGAAACATTAGTGATACAATTTCAGTATAAATGTGAAATGGCATTAGTTTGCCAGGGAAATAATAGTGATTGAAAATATTTGAAATAAATATTGATTGAGAATATTGAAAAAAAAATAAAGAAAAAATAAAAAAAAAAAAAACAAGGAGCAGCTCTTGCCTTGAAGTTATAGAAGTTCATTCCTATCAGAACGTTATAAAGCTCACTAAAATCCTTCTTTCTTGTTCTGTTTTGATAATTACAGTAGCCGCATAATGCAACACAAGTTTAAGACAACAATATTATACAAAGCAAGAATGGCATAGGATATTCATTATCAACAGCATACTTAACTAGACAAGAATATTTTGTTATTCTATGCTGAAATATAGCAAAAATGTTACTGCAGCATGGAAAACCTTGCAACTTCCTCCTGAAACACTCCAGCCTTTTTAAGAGACATTTATGGAACTTCTTACCCATGTAACTGCATGTTTCAACATGCGATAAGTTTCTGTACACACATACTTTTTTTTTTTTTTTTCCTTCCAACTAACACTGAAACTTGTTAAAGTCCCTATGCATACACGTACCTCTGCAGCAGCCCTCGGTGGAGATTTCCTGGGCTATCCCCAAGCTCACAACACAGCTGTGCAGCAATTTGGGCTGATGACAAGCATGGATGTGAAGGAGAAACTTAGAAGGCTCTTCACCAGGTAATGGCCTGTCTTTCAGCATATAACAACAAAATATTCTCACCCTGTTTTGGAGAATATTATTTTATTAAACTTTAACTGCGCTATAGGCGTGCACATGCACACGCACAAATATGTTCACTACCAAGTTTCCTTTTGAGAAAACAACAGAACTTTGAAACTAAAAAACTTCAGGTACAGACCAGCAAGAGACGTTTAAGCCACTAACATAAAACCCTGAAGGTAACTTCCAGCTATCAGTTTTAGGAAGGAAATAATTTTGTCCAGCAAACCAGATTTCCATAGAGCATTAAATTGCTAGTTTAGTAGCTGTGTGCAGTGATGGCAAAAAAGGGGCTTTGGTTCAGTTCTTTCCTCTGACATCAAGCACTGATACCTTCTAAGCCGTTATTCTGAGATCACTAGATTCAGATGTATCAGCCGCCAGAAAATTGCTTATTATTATTATTGTATTTCCAAAGTAACCACACCACTGAAGTTAGCTGTTAACAGCATTAATGAAACCATACCACCGCCCCAGCCTTTGACTCATCAGGCCAGCAGTATTTAAGGGCCACTGAGCGATGCAAATCACTTCTCCCTCTCATTAAAAGCTTTTTTTGATTTCTGCATTACTCAGGTCTCTGTCAAGGTGGTGGAATTTGCAAACCTCTTAGAAATTGTGAGATGAGAGGTGTGTCTTGCAAACTTCTACTGTGTTTTGGGGACCATGTGAGGAAATAATTTTTATGGGTTTATTTATTTATTACCAATACAAAACAATTCATTTTAAACAGTTAATCACAGATGGTTCCAGTTCACAGAAAAGCTAATGCTGACATTTAAGGTCATCACGAGATGACATACCACTTCAGAAACTGCATGAGCTTTCATGTTTTTCTGAACAGGCTGTTTTCTCTAAATCATAGCTCCTAACATCATCTGTTGCTCCAAGAGTTTCCAGTTATCAAAACCCTGGGCATTTTGCTATAAATATTAATTTTCCATCTGTCTATAGTTTTATAACTTTGCACTAATTGGAGGATTTGTTGGAGACTCATTGCAGCAGAAGAAGCAGTGAATAAAGTTATACTAAACACAATGTCAGCTTACAAGAAGTCCACAGATTTTTACAGCTTGCACAAGATATACAACATATGACACAACTAGTATGAACTTTCTTTCCTGGGGTAAAAATCCCTCTAGATTAGTATCAGAAATATCCATGATGAATTGAATTTAATCTGGAGTATTTAAAAAGTAGTTTGCTTTGAACATCTTTTTATATTAAAAATATAAAACTTAGAAAGAAAAATAAAAGTGTGAATCTCAGTGGAATGAGCTGAGTAATAAAGGTTAATGATACTGGGCAATAAGCAAAAGCTAGTTTCTAGTAGTCAGGTTTGCCAATACTTTGTTTTCCTAAGGTCACTACATTTTCCTATGGGTAGGGAGTAAAATGCCAGAAAATCATCTGGTTTTCATTTTTAATTTAGTTTAGCTTCAAAATATTTAAAATTACTTTATTCTTCCAAAAACATTAAACTAATTTTTATGAACAGAAAGTTTACAAAGGATTATTTTTCTTTCATTCAAATGTCAAAAAATATAATGTACTGCTATTCCACATCTACAAAGGGAATTTTGAAAATTAAAGAAACTGGGGAGTTGGGGGCAGAAGGATATCTTTCCAAAAACTAAGAGTCAATTACTTATCTGAATTTATTCTTCTCAAGCACTAAATATCAGCTGCTCAAAAAGTTTTGCCTTTCTTACCCAACATAAGACACTGGCAAACAAATAAAAAGCCCTACAAACAAACAGAAAAAAATCCTCACACCCCACACATAACCAATTTCAGACACATAACAGCTTTAGACTTTGACACTTGATATTTTAATGGAAATATAAGCAATAAAAAGTAACAAGTCAATAATAAGGCTGTAACAAACAAATCCTCCCCTCTCACACAAACTCCTTCAATTAAACCCCCAAATTCTTCTCAATCTTCAGTAGAAGTAGCTGTTGAAATAACTACCAGTTAAGCACCATTGTAGAGACTGTGTAGGAACAAGAATGTAACTATTAACAGGTCTTCCAAGACATATTAAGAACAACTTTGGTGACATTCACCTCCTTGTAATGGGTATTCTAATCTTTGCCATCAGAAATCCTAGATTATCGTGATAAGTAGTACAGATAGACTGTGGCCAGATCATTGCTGTGGTCCTGGAGAGGTTGCTTCAGTGTTATTTTTATTACTTTTATTTTTATATTTATTTTTATTAATTTAATATTTTGTCCTCTACATGCTCAGTAGTGCCAGAGGTCTGTGTCAGATCTCTTATTTTTATACCACTATACAGGAGACAGTTATTACTAGAGGAAAGCAGTTTACTATTGCACGTAGTCCACTGTATGACTGGCCATATACCAAAAAAGGTCACATAAACCAGCCACACACCTTAAGGGGTGGGAGGCAACATACCATCTTCACAGTACAGAAAGACAAAGCTATGCACTTAAACTTCAATAGACAAAATAATTTATCTTAATATGACAGTGAAGAATACCATAAATTTTAATTTTAGATCCATGCATAGTTTTTAAATCAGATACAACTGATGGAAAATACACTCTTTTAAAATCTATTTATTATTTCATTTTTCCAGTGCTTGGGCTTAAATCATGAGTTAAACTATGACATCATTAATTTATTAAAGAAACAAAAATATAAAGATGGTATATATTGTTCATACATTAGACAGCAAAAGCAGGATTTTCTTCAGTTTTCCATCTACTTTCTAAAAGAGAACATTTCAAAAGCATGAACAGGTTGTCATTTCTCAAAGGGGAAAAGGACTGTCCTATCAAAAGCCTAAAACAAGAATACTGTTTTCCTTCTCTGAGATACATTTTTAACTGTAGATGAAATAATTTAAGTTGTAATAATGCACATTCATGAGGCACCAGAAGAACTGGGCTAAG